CCAGGCCGGGCTTCACTAGGCCTTGCTAGGCCTCTCCGCGCCTGGGCCGCCCTCCGCAGTCCCGTAGCTCCGCCCACCTCCGATCGCCAAGCCATCGCTGCGCCGGGCCGCTGCAACGGGCCGCAGCTCTTCTTGGCCGCTAGGCCCCAGGCTTCACCAGGCCCCGCTAGGCCTCAGTTCTCCCCGGCCGCTAGGCCGCGAGGCTTCACCAGGCCTCGCTAGGCCCCTCCGGGCCTGGGCCGCCCTCCGCGGCATCGCAGCTCCGTTCGCCGCCCCGCCCAGCCAAACCTGGCAGTCCTGCGGTCCGGCACCCGTCCTCTTCGCTCGCCGATCCTCTCCTCTCACTCATTCCTGGCCGGCGAGCACCCCCGGACCTTCTTTGACACCCCCATCTCCGCCGATGGACCACCGCCGCTACGGAGCCGGAGCCGGAGCCGGTAGGTCCGCCATCACACGCATGCGCACAATACCATCATTCCAGAAATTCTTCTCTTTAAACTGACTCAGCTAGCTGTGCCTGTCCATGTTTGTAGGTGGATTATAAGCTTTTTGACAGATAGGAAGCAACTGAAAAACCTAGGAAAAATCACATCAAGTAACTGGACAATTAGCACAGGTGCCCTTCAGGGCTGTGTGCTCTCTCCATTATTCTTCTCTATATATACCAATAACTGTATCTCTAAGGATCCTTCTATTAAAGTACTGATGTTTGCAGATGCTACAACAATCAGTCTCATTCAAGAAGTGATGAATGTGCATAGGATTGAACAACTAGCCCTATGGTGCAGATGGAATAATCTGAACATGCTTACAACTGTAGAGATGAGAATAGATTTTAGGAGAGCCCTTCTATTCTACCACCTCTTACTATATTAGACAGCACGGTATCAATAGTAGAGTCCTTCAGGTTTTTGGATTTTATAATCTCCCAGGATTTAAAATAGATAGCTAAGATTAGAACCATAATTAAAAAGCACAACAAAGAATGTACTTCCTGCATCAACTTAGGAACTTCAGACTGCCCCAGGAGCTGTTGATACAGTTCTGCGTTGATTCTGTTATTTGTACTTCTATAATTGTCTGGTTTTGTGTAGCAACTAAACAGTACAAGTACCGACTCCAATAGATAGTTAGGACTGCAGAAAAAAACAACTGCAACCAGCTTGCCTTCATAGAGGACCTCTATATTGCACGGTCAGAAGAAGGGCCGAGAAATTATCTACAGCAGGCATGTCAAACTCGCGACGTCACATGACGTCATGGGACGTATCGGAGCTTTTTTGCCATTGCCGGCAATGGGGTGGGTGCGGCTCCGGTATGATTGAAACCGGCCTGCGGGCTGGCAGTTTGACACCCCCGATCTACAGACCTCTCATATCCTGGACATAAACTGTTTCAACTTTTTCCTTTGGGATGCTGCATCCCAAAACAACTAAATATAGAGACAGTTTTTTCCTTCATGCCATCACTCTGCTAAACACTTGATTCCCGCAGTACTGTCTTATGTCTATTTACCCATGTAGTATGGCTATATTATTATCCTTACCATCTTCTCTACTATCTCCTATTGGTATATCATTATTATGATTATTATTACTGTTTTTGCATGTACATTGAGAACTTCTGCACCAGAGACAAATTCCTTGTGTGTCTAATCACACTTGGCCACATAAAGTATTCTATTACATTACATAGTAGTTCAAATACCACAGGACCAGAACCAGCAGTATACCTTCACTTAAAAGAAAAAGGACACTCTTTTGAAGATCATAATGTTCACATTTTGGACAGGGAAGATAGATGGTTTGGGAGAGAATGAAAGAATCCATTCATGCTAAAGTAGAAAATCCTTTCTTCATTAGAGTTGGAGGCCTGAGACACAACCTGCCCCCCATTTTTAGGCTGCTTCTGCATCAGTCCCCAGGAAGATCAAGACCACTTCACAGGTTCACCAAGGAGGCCATATTTAACCACTGACCCAAGACCTAAGAGAAGGATTTAGGACAATGGCTCTTAAGGATTATCTGCCTACTCACCTAACAAGCCTATTTAGATTAGATAAAACCACCCAGGAGGACATATATATAAGCCCCCCCCCCCAAACAACTTGCTCAGATTGAAGAAGCTGTGTTTGAAGCTTCTTCAAGAAGAGAAACGTTTCAAACCAAAAAAAGAAAAAGTCCAGTTGCCACAACTCAACTTCCAGACAACTACTTAGATGACTGAGAATATTTATTGATACTGAGATTGCTACTTTTTCACATTAGGGTCTGAACAAGAACTATAGCAGTTTATCCCAAAGATAAAAAAAAACTTCTATTACAGGTTGGAATATAACAAAAATAAATGTCTATATAGATTATTCAAATTAAAATTTCATTGGATATTAGTTTTATCCTAAAACTTTCCTATTTTCCATATATAAAAAAGGGAAACATTTTTTTTTTAAAAAAAAGCCTTTACTTTTCCAGTTCTGTTCCATTGTTTCTTAAGAGACAGAAAAAGTTACAATAGTAGGGGCAGAAACAGGAATTAATATAAACATCAGACTATGGATTTGGGAAACTATATCTGTAACAAAACAGGCTGTTGTTAAAGCACCCCTCCTTAAGCCCAATTCATCCTCTGATTTAGCTTCAAACAACTGAGTGAATTAACTCCAAGAGGGCTAAGCTCCTTACTGTATGTGAAAAATGGCTCATAATTTGGTTAATTATGACTTACTGAATAAACCATAATTGGCTGGGTTCATACAATTTACTAAACTTATAACTAAATGAACCTCTGTTTGTGTGTATGTGCGTATGTGTGTACTCATTTTATCTCCAAACCCCATAAATTTTAAATGAAAACAGACACACATGAAGAAAAAGAAGTGGCCTATCGACTTTTAGAATATAGAGTGTCCTCTGCTTACAAACATTAGTTTAATGACTGTTCAAAGTTACAACCACATTGCAAAAAGTGACTTATGACCGTTTTTCACAATTATGACCATTGCAGCATCTCTATGGTCATATGATCAAAATTCAGACGCTTAAAAACTTACTCATATTTATGACAGTTGCAGTGTCTTAGGGTCATGTGATCATCTTTTGTGACTTTCTGACAACCAAAGTTAATCGAAAAACCAGATTCACTTAACAACCATAATACTAACTTAACTACTATAGTGATTTACTTAACAATTTTGGCAAGAAAGGTTGTAAAATGGAGCAAAATTCACTTAACTGCCTTGCCAACAGAAATTTTGGCTCAATTGTGGTCATAAGAGGAGGACTATCTGTATAGTCCTTGATATGCCATACAAAACCTAATATGACCATTAAGGTGATAAATGAGATAAGCCATAATTTGTTTAGTTTTAGTATAATGTGATAACCAACCAATAATTGATGGATTATTACATGAGTGATGGATTGTTACATATTTTTTTACAGAGAAGGCTAGTAATTGTATTGTGAATTACAGCCAATTGAGGTTTATTCATATGATTATATAAATCTTTTTATGCCAGTACACACTATGAATTATGAGTTAGCATCTCAGTATCTTTTCCAATAATTCTATAACATAGGCCACTGTTAGTATATTATAATCTAGATTTTGGAAAATGGGGGATTTAGTTGCTAAAGCCACCTAGTTGACTGTCAGTAGTAAAGCTATTATTGTTCCTACATGTTGCTCCATTTCATGATTTATAGAATTATAATTTTAATTATATTAATTTTAAAAATTAATTAATAACATTTAATTTAACAATCTGACGGACCAGTCTTTAGGAGCAGCATGACCAATTCATCCTAAATATGTTTTCAAACAGCCATGTTTTTACCGTTCCATGAAAATATGTTAAGGACAGAATGTTCCAGATATCCAGGTATAAGCTATTCCAAAGGCACAATTCTTTGTTAAGAGTTTTACCTAACCAGATAAAGTGTAAATCCAGCCACTGTATATGCCTCATCTAATTGTTAACTTTACATGCATGTATGAGAAGTCTAGTTCAGCCTTCCCAACCTAGTTGCTATGGTAGGACTACAACTGACATACAAAGATCATCAAGAACACTGTCATATGAGATGATGGGCTCTGCCGACCAGCATCAGGTTAATAAAAGCTGCTCTAAGCATGAAGTAGTCGAAATTTGGTTTTACTTTTACCAGTTTTTTATTTATGCACGCACTCACCAAAATAAAGTATGGCTACTTCCACTGGGAGAAGTAATTACCGGGCCAACTGGTAGATTAAATTCGATCAAAATTCAAAAGAAATGGGAATAGGATGGGGAAATGGAGGCGAAAACATCAACACAAGAGATACGAAGAGAATTCCTGTACAGTTTCTGTGGACACTCTACCTCACAAACCCAGTTAGCCTCGCAAGGCTGCGAGAGTCAGAGATCAGCAGCCGCAACAAGTCAGCGAGGAAGACTTACCCACCCCTTCCTTTTCCCGTTTTTTGACATGGCTTCTTACCGTACGTGACCGTTACTATCACGGCCGACTTCTCGTAAGGCCCCGCCATTCCTGCTTGTCCACCTCTCCGGTCGAGCTGCCTCTGAGATGCCCAGCAGCTGCTTCTCCTTCCTTCTAATCCGGAAACTGCCCGGCGCCTAGAAAAAAAAGGGAAGAAGGGATGTGACGCCAGAAAACTTCCGATAACCAGCCCCTCATCTTGATAGCAGCGATTGGACGGCAAAGAAATGCCGCCTTCTTTGTCCTACAAATAAGGTACTGCAGGATATTTCTGAGAACCAAGTTCAAGCAGCATTTAGACGTTCATTGTGTAGAAGGAAAATTGTTGGTAGTTTATTCCATTACACGATGTCAAATAAAATTTTTACAGTAACACAATTCTGAAGGCAGAGGTGATTGTTCCAGCAGTAATAAAGGGATTTTCGACTCCTATCTCATAATTAGCAATTTATTCTATATGTACATTTTTGCTTGTCTGTTCAAACTGAATGTCCAAAGCAGTATATAACTTAAAAATAACGATAATTAAACGGTGTTGTTTTGCATGTGTACCAATACAAATCATATTGTGTTATATTCTTGTGGAAAACGAAAGAACTCTTACGAATTCCAGAGGGGTTTAGCAGAGAAGTTTATTTGCGCAAGGTTCAGAGCATATTAGAGATAGGCAATTCTGAACGAGGAGGGCAGGATTAGACTTCAGTTTTTATACTACCCTCCTTAAAGAACAAAGGGCTACACATTGAAATACACACTGTGATACATTAGGAGCGTTTCTCACAGGCATACAATGGAAGGTTTTGCTACATACAAAGTATCCATGTGCAGAGCGCATTTGGTTGCCACATATTACTGACAGAGAACTTTCCCGGTGAATTTTCCCAGTGATTATGCATTACATCATTGTTCTAGCAATTATGCAGACACATCATTATTGCAGTTATGCAGACAAATCATTATTCTAATAATTGTTCAATTTTACTACATTAATACCATCAGAGCAAGATTTTGTGATTAGATTTAATTGACAGAAAAAGGGACCTGAAATCCAGCAGTTTATCTGTTTTGAAGTAATTGAAATAATATTACTTTTACACAACATTTATAAATCAGGTTATAAATACATCTATTTGTGATTGTATGACATGCTTTTTTTGTGTGTGTCATCTTATCCTGGCAACTGTCTGAATATGTCCCTGCAGTTTTCTTGGCAAAGTTTTCAGAAGTATACAGAATAAATGTACTTTATTAACCTCAGTATTTGAGTATTCATAGCACTCTGAATCATGAACATGATTGGATTCACTTAGCATGCTAGACTAAAATGTAATTAGGTTATTTCAAATTCAGTGTGGCACCTGGATGAAGACTAATGGAGAAGCACTAGGAACCATAATTTTTACTTATAGCTTGTAAAACTCTCAGTTTTATCCAGACCAAGAAATGGACATTAAGACCTGTTCTTCCAGCTTCCCAAAATGGTTTTGAAACATTAATCCAGTTCAGCATTTTAATACAATACACTGAACCATAGAAATAGAGGAACTATAAACTGGGCAGATTCATAATATATGGCACTGTAAAACAGCCTATATCATCTTTTGTCTAGCAACTTTCATTGGCTTTTATTTCCTTTGTCCAAGTCTGCCTCCATATCTCTTTTTACTACCATACCTTCATGACATTGTATTCGTCTCATTGAGAACTCATTACTAAGGCAACTTAAAGTTATCCATAACTATATTTTAAATGCTGAAATACTGCTTTTTCCCCAAGCAACAAGGCAAGATATTTTTTGTTCTGAAGAATCTGTACATCTTACCAATCATTTGGATGTTAGTGAAATCGGGTGACATTGCATCTCCCACCCCAGGGCTGGGATTAGTTTGGCATCTACTGGTTGATTTGGGCTAAGGCTGGCATGTGCTCTCCTCTCTCTGGTTCAGGGCTATTTTGCTTTATACACAAAGAGAGTCTACTTTTTGAAACCAGACTGTCCTTCTGTACTCAACTGGTCTACAAACTGACCACAGTTCAGAGATCTATATCAGTCTGAAGATCAGTTGATGGCCAATGGCAGTAGATAAGGTGGGGGGAGGAATATGCCATACTGTAAAGAGAGAGGAGATTTTCTGTATCTGTTGTGCAAGTCTCCCTATATTGCAAGTCTCCCAAGTTACTCATTGGATTGCTTTTGAACACAAGTGTGGCATTCTTCTATAACTGCCTTGTTTTGCCTAATAATTACACTTCCTTTGATTGCAGCCATATTTGCATACAATCAGAATGAACTTTGGCAGGTAGCTAAACTCTTGGTCTAGCTATCAGTCAGAATTCGTTTTCCTTATTTCCATCTCATATTAAGAGAGTGATTAACTTTTCATCTACTGTCAGAACCCTCAATTATTAATCATGCATATTCTCTGGGTTTAGGTTATTTGGGTTCTGCCATCCTCCTGTGGGGGGAGGGGGGTAGCCGGGGGCTTGTTGTGCACATAGACTGTTTTCTCTATCTGCTTTCATATATGGGGTGTGAAAGGAATGTCTCGGGGCCATCTGCCTTATCTCAGAGCACAGGGAGAAACTAGAGAAGACCTAACAACCTTGAGAGAGGTGCCTTATTGGTTGCTTTCCCATAGCTCGATGTCACCTGTGGATTGGCCTGTTTGAATCGACTGGACAGTTGGGGTGGGGTTATTGTTTCACAGGTTTAACCTATTGATTCGGACAGGAAGTCCTCAGATCCTGCCTAGCTTTCCTGCTTTCTGTACCTGCCAATAAAAGTTCCTTTTGAAATGATGCCAGTTTCAAGAGTTCTGCTTTCTTGGTAAAGAAACGGAGGCAGGTCCTTACATTAGGCAGGATCTGCAAAGTGGTCAACCCGGAGGACTAATCCTACCATGGGCACCATGCAAAATGATGTCTAATCACAGAGGTGAGAAGAGAGAAACGAGCGCTTGGAGGGGGCCTTGCTGAAAGCTTGCCCAAACAGCAGTGGCTCAGACTCCACCAGCTCATCCAAAGAGGTGGACACTTACGAGAAACCGAGATGGTCAATCGGAGTGGGGAAGGACAACTGGGACACGAAAGCTAGGAAAGTCACCCTCAAGTGTGACAGCCATCAACCTGGTTGGAAGCACAAGATGGAGAGATCACTAAATGTCAGTGAAGATGAGGGCGAGAGGCCAGCGCGCTCTGACCGCTTCTTCAAGCAAGCCATTGGCATGCTGATAGAGGCATTCAAAAACCTCCAGGAAGAAGAGGCCGATCCCTACAGGGATTCAATAGCCATGGGCTGGGACGAGAAAGAAGCGGTCCGGGAGAGCAAATTCGCAAACCCTGGCCCTTCCATGAGCGCCTTGGAAGCCACTGGAGTGACAGCCAAGGTCACCACCCCAGCCCGTGCCACCCCAGCTGGAGGAGATGGATGCTGAGCCAGAAGAAGAGGGACTCAACCGCCTGACCGCAAGGTTCCAGCCCTGGAGGTAAAGTACGATGGATCACCCCAGCAGTTGGGCTTTTTCCTAGCCCACATCCTGAGCTACATGCACAAATATGGGCGGGAAATCCCTGGGACCGTGGGCGTGTCAGGATCGTAACCCTTGACTTGGAAGGTGGCAGCTGCCCAGTGAATGGTGTCCCTACATGTTGACGCTCCTGAGCTCCGGAATTTTAACCTGTTCATGGCAGCCCTGAGATGCAGGTTTGAGGACTCGCTAGCTGATCAGAAAGTGCAGGAAACACTGTCATTTGGGTTGTGACAGACCTATTCTCCAAACAGGTCCACTTTATACTCTGCCAGAAGATTCCCACTGCTAAAGCCCTAGCCAAATTATTTGTACTACATATATATCAGCTGCATGGGGTCCCACAATGCATTATATCAGACGGGGGTCCAGTTCACCTCCGAGTTCTGGAGAGCTTTTTTGGACCTACTTGGTACCAGTCAAGGACTGACATCTAGTCATCATCTGCAAACAAATGGTGGGACAGAATGTTCAAACTCAGTATTAGAACAATACCTGAGATGCTTCATAAATTACAACAAGATAACTGTACTGAGCTGTTCCCTTTCACAGAAGTCGCTTACAACAATGCACTACATTCAAGTACCGGCCACAAACCCTTCCAAGTGGCAACAGGACAAAGTTTCAACCCAATGCCTTAGTTACCTGTTAATGAGCCCACCACCCCCTCTTTGAAAGCTGTAGATGAAGCGAGGGAAGCTTATAAAGTTCAGGCAGATAAACAAATGGAACCTAAACCATTCAAAATAGAGGGAAAATATATCTCCCTACCAAATTTTTAAAATCCCTGCAGCCATCGAAAAAGCTAGGATCAAAATTCATACGACCCTTCCCCATAAAACACATAATTAACCCAGTAACAGTGGAATTGAAACTCCCAAAACCATTGAGACAGGTCCACCCTGTATTTCACTGCAGCCTGCTTAAATGGGAACTAACCTCCCTCCACACAACCCTTTATGGTGGAAGGGGAACAGCATTTTGATATTAAAGAAATATTAGACTCCAGGAAACATCATGGATTAACCCAATACATGGTGGCATGGAAAGACCTCCCACCATCACAAAATGAGTTGGGTGCATAAAAAGCATGTCATAGCTCTTCGACTGCTAAAAAAGTTCCATGCCTGTTACTCAGATAAGCCTGACTAACATTGTTGTTTCAACTCTCTCTCTCTTTATTATTTTCTCTATCTCCAGGTGGATCTCTCATTTTTCTAGAGGAGCGGCATGTCAGAACCCTAAGTTATTAAAACAGTGTCTGTGGAAGAACATCAATCATCAGTGGGAGGAACATTTTTTATGCTGTACAATTTTCTGTCAGTTCAAGGGCTCATGGATAATACCTTAATTCAACAAGAGCCCGTAGTATATTACACTGAACCCAGGAACAAGTGTGTATGTGTAAAATGATTTTAATATTTGAAGAGCACATTGGGACTTGTATTACCTTAGATTACCATGTTCTATAAACACAAATTGAACATAAGACTTACAGTGAGGGGGGAAAAGTATTTGATTCCCTGCTGATTTTGTACATTTGCCCACTGACAAAGAAATGATCAGTCTATAATTTTAATGGTAGGTTTATTTTAACAGTGAGAGACAGAATAACAACCAAAACAATCCAGAAAAACGCATTTCAAAAACTTATAAATTGATTTGCATTTTAATGAGTGAAATAAGTATTTGATCCCCTATCAATCAGCAAGATTTCTGGCTCCCAGGTGTCTTTTATACAGGTAACAAGCTGAGATTACGAGCACTCTATTAAAGGGAATGCTCCTAATCTCAGCTTGTTACCTGTATAAAAGACACCTGTTCACAGAAGCAATCAATCAGATTCCAAATTCTCCACCATGTTCCAAGACCAAAGAGCTGTCCAAGGATGTCAGGGACAAGATTGTAGACCTACACAAGGCTGGAATGGGCTACAAGACTATCGCCAAGTAGCTTGGTGAGAAGGTGACAACAGTTGGTGCGATTATTCGCAAATGGAAGAAACACAAAATAACTGTCAATCTCCCCCGGTCTGGGGCTCCATACAAGATCTCACCTCATGGAGTTCCAATGATCATGAGAACAGTGAAGAGTCAGCCCAGAATTACACGGGAGGATCTTGTCAATGATCTCAAGGCAGCTGAGACCATAGTCACCAAGAAAATATTTGGTAACACACTACACCGTAAAGGATTGAAATCCTGCAGTGCCCGCAAGGTCCTCCTGCTCAAGAAAGCACATATACAGGCCTGTCTGACGTTTGCCAATGAACATCTGAATGATTCAGAGGAGAACTGGGTGAAAGTGTTGTGGTCAAATCAGACCAAAATTGAGCTCTTTGGCATCAACTCAACTCGCCGTGTTTGGAGGAGGAGGAATGCTGCCTATGACCCCAAGAACACCATCCCCACTGTCAAACACGGAAGTGGAAACATTATGCTTTGGGGGTGTTTTTCTGCTAAGGGGACCGGACAACTTCAGCACATCAAAGGGACGATAGACGGGCCATGTACTGTCAAATCTTGGGTGAGAATCTCCTTCCCTCAGCCAGGGCATTGAAAATGGGTCGTGGATGAGTATTCCAGCATGGCAATGACCCAAAACACATGGCCAAGGTAACAAAGACCTTAATCCCATAAAACAGGGGTCCCCAACCCCCGGTCCATGAACCAGCACCGGGCTGTGGCATGCCAGAAACTGGTCTGTGCAAACAAGCAAAGCCCCATTCACGGGATGCAGGCAATACATGAAACCACGCCCCCTCCAGTCCACAGAAAAACCTCTCTCTACGGAATCAGTCCTTGGTGCTCAAAAGGTTGGGGACTTCTGCCATAGAAAATCCATGGAGGGAGGTGAAGGTTTGAGCCACCAAATGTCAGTCTCAAAACCTTAATGACTTGGAGAAGATCTGCAAAGAGGAGTGGGACAAAATCCCTCCTGAGATGCATGCAAACCTGGTGGCCAACTACAAGAAACGTCTGACCTCTGTGGTTGCCAACAAGGGTTTTGCCACCAAGTACTAAGTCATGTTTTGCAAAGGGGTCAAATATTTATTTCACTCATTAAAATGCAAATCAATTTATACCTTTTTTGAAATGCGTTTTTCTGGATTTTTTTGTTATTCTGTCTCTCACTTTTAAAATAAACCTACCATTAAAATTATAGACTGATCATTTCTTTGTCAGTGGGCAAATGTACAAAATCAGCAGGGGATCAAATACTTTTTTCTCTCACTGTAGTTCAAATAGCATATTAAACCATGCATTTTATTCAAGTTTGGTTTAGTCTCTTGTATGAACCTGCAGGAATGTACAGTATTCAAAATGGGTAAGAGTTGAGGATATCTGTGCTACATTCAAAGAGCCTTTCCCGTTTTGGACCCAAATATTTCATATCTCTACAATCGAGTCATTGTGTTTTTTAAATCATGAATTTCAGCTAGTGTGTTGTGTGAACCCAGCCAGTGGTTTATTCAGAAAACCTTGGTTAAGTAAAACATGATTCAGTGCAATAAGTGAACTCTGACTCTGAGATCACATTCTGTTAACACAGTAAAATAGCATTGATAAAAGAATTGTCTATGGTGGCAAAAAATAGCATTAAATGCACACTTACAACTCAAAATTTGTAGTTGACCTTGCCCTGAAAACATATATATTATTGTGGAAAAATGGGATATTATCTCCAATCATGCTGGCTCAACATAATAAAAGGGCACATATCTTCTTTATGATCTATTTTGTCCATCTAAAGCAGCGGTTTCCAATCTTTTCTATCCCCGCACCCGTAGAACACTTCTGATATATTCTTGCATCCCTAACAAAAGTTTGAAATAATGGCAATGAATTATGCATATACACTATAACTTTGAAACTTCTAAACCCAAGTTTTTGCACCCCCTGGAATATTGTCTTGCACCCCCAGTTGGGAACCCCTGATCTAAAGTGTTTGTATTGAACCTATAATTGTGATTTCTATGTGCATGAAATAAAATTCTATTTAAAAAGTTTTATCAGTACTTAACTATTTGTTAAACTAGGATCACATGTAATTCAAATTTATAATTCAATGATGTTTGAATAGTCATTGTAGTTTATAAATTCATGTCTTAATTTATTATATGAATCCAACCAAAGTCTTTCCTATTGGCTGTATTTGCATGATGCACCTACATTATCTGAATATTATGGAATATTTAATCTTTTAAACTTCAGTGGTACAAAGAACCAGTAACTTTACAGACTCAGCTCACACATACTGGAGTAAAATTTGGTTGGTCTTTCCAGCATTCTATGCAAAACAAGAAATAGATGCACCTAGAGTCTGAACACATTCACGGAAAAGGAACCCTAACTTTTATATTGTTAAAAGTAAATTAAGCCACTCAATTATTGGTCTTTTGTCCTTATTCAAGTCACTGTTAAAGCTGGTTTACCTAATGCACTAAAACATATTTAAAGAGCAGTACAAATTTAACCAGCCATTATCTATATAAATAAAAATGTAAATGTTCGTTTGTTCAAAATCTTAAATCTCCTAAAGTTCTTCACCGATTGCTTTGAAATTTTGATACAACGTTGCATTCGAATACACGCTTGTTTTTATATACCTATTATTATATAGATGTCACACCTGTGACACAAACATGCGCTTTCTCTTTTCTTTCTTTTCCATTTAACCAGACTGAGCCACAGCAACGCGTGGCCGGGTACAGCTAGTTAAATAAAACAAACTTAACTGAATGTATAAACTCACTCTATAAGTTTGCTCTTTAACGTACAATGGGAACCTGTTAAAATGGTTTCCATAATAATCCAGAAGATCTTGTAGCCTTCCTTTAGTCCAATCTGTCATAGTATTTTGTCTACTATTTTGCAAAAGTAAAAAAATAAAAATAAACAAATATTCCTAATACTTTGCTCTGTCCCTGTTACTCCATTCTTTATTTCCATCCTTTCCTTGTTCGAAGCAAATACATCCTTGCTCTACTAACAAGTTCTCCTCCACAACGGGGTTTTCCAAAGAAACCCGGAACAGTTTAATTTTTCTATCACCATTTTTTCTCAACATCTTCCGATCTTTAATCCAAATGTCACTCGTAGTTTCTATCGTCCACTGATTGGTCGTTGTCTCAGAAGGGCGAGATCACTGAGCAGGCGCAATGGATAGTTTCCGGGTCTGAGGGGGTTGTGAAACTTTTCAAGTCGCTCTTTGTTTTCTATTTGGGCTGTATTTCTCTGGCTGGTTGCTGAGATGAATCGTTTGTTCGGCAAATCGAAGCCTAAGGCGCCACCTCCGAATTTGACGGACTGTATTGGCACGGTAGGTACCACACAGAGAGAGGGTGTGTGGCTGGAGCACCCTTACCTGCCGGCTTCTCTAGAGAAGAAAATAGTCGTCGTCGAGGCTGAATCTCATTGTCAGAACATTTTAGTACAGATATCTATTGGCAGATTTACTATGTTGTTTTTGATAATCTAGGGCAGTGTTTCTCAACCTTGGGCCCTTTAAGATGTGTAGATTTCAACATCCAGAATTCCCCAGCCAGCTTTGCTAGTTAAGGAATTCTGGGAGCTGAAGTCCACACGTCTAAAAGGGGCCAAGATTGAAAAACACTGATCTAGGGTGAATAAGAAGACGTAGTCGCTAGCAGAGCAGCATACTCTTTCTCGGGAGCAATATTTACTGGTCGCTAATTCGCCGAATGAGTGTTTTTAATGTAGTTTGAGCATTGAATTGCTTTTGGCTCCATGGCTCTGATTTGAATTGTTTAGATGTAGTCAGTAATTTGATTCATGTCTTGTGGTGAGCCATGGTTTGCTTAACCATAGTTTGTTGAATAAATTGTTGGCTGGATTCTGAGAATGTGCTTTGCTTGATGTGGTTGTGATTTATTTAAAACCAAAGAATCTATATTATGCCTGCTAATCACTTTTATCCCTTTCGTTTGCCCCTCCAAAGAATTATGTGGTTAATTCTGCCTGTTTATTTGTGTCTTGTGCTTTCTAAATAACAAGTTTCATTCTACTTGGCAAGCTATTTCAAAACTAGGGGAATTGGGGAATGGATAGAGAAGTAATACTGTGCATGATCATGTTTTTGATGAGTTCTTGGATTCCAGCCACTATAATTTAGGATGTATTATGGAGGAAAATCTCAAGATAAAAGTTATCTTTTTAGTATTTAGAAGCAATGATAGGGGTACACAGAGGAACAATAAAAGTGTCAGTGTCAGAGTCAATTGTTACTTTTCTCTTATGCGTACTTAAGGCTTTTTAAGCAATGTAAGTGGGGATTAATTGTTTTAATTATAATTTGTGTTATAAACTAAAGTTTATTCATGTTTGCATACTGTGATATAGCAATTCTTTTTTAACAAGAATTTAAAAAAAATCCTTTGTTTGTCCCCTACAACCTTAAGTGTCTACAAATAAATGCTTTTAACAGTTATTTTTTATTACATTCTCTTTAAAAAGGCTGAGCTCTGTCAAGTTGTTTTAAAAAATTAATCTCTCACGTAGCCCTAATTTTTTATTTCTTCTGTGACTCCTTTTGTGAATAGTTATTGTTGATAAACAAATATAACCATTTGCTAAAGATTGCATGTTTAGAATTAGAATATATACTGTAGAACACTTTTATATATATATATATATATATATATATATATATATATATATATATATATATATATATATATTTTATTGGGTTTTTTTACATATCACCATTGATATTTGGTAAACAGCATGTTGTCTAGGTTTGTATTTACAAATAATCAATAACATTTAATTTTTATAGTTCCATATTCCACATAATAATTTTCCTTGATTTTCTCTTCTTCCAATATTCTTTTAGCAACCTTAAATTAAAACATTTCTTGATATTTTTTGGAAAAATAACAATTAAATGTCTACAAATATCCTCCACTTCATTATTAAGCTTTTTTCTAATTAATCATCTAGATCACTTTGTCATAGATCCTTTTTAAAGTTCTCATTTAAATTTATTTTCCCCACAATATTCAAAAGAAAGCATTTTTACTTGTTAAAATTTTCTTAGAGTTAATTACACTTATATATTGAAATCTTTTTCCTCAAATGAGCCATCCCAACACTTAATTTTTTCACATCTTGAAATAGAAAGAAGAAAGGACAAGAATAATATACTATCTAAAAAAGCATATCCCTCTTAAACTAAAATACCTTAATAATCAATGTTTCATTTTTTAAAAACATATTCAAATCTTCAAAATCCATTATATTTGAATATTTAATACATTTCCCTCATATAAATCTTCCCACACATTTTTATATTTCTCATATCATAGACAAAAAAAATACTGTATTGCTTAAGGAGCCTATCCCTCCTAAGCTTCTTTAACCGTATTCAAACAATTGTTTAATCTTTAAATATTCCATCAAATGAATCCCATCATCTAATTTAATAATAATAAAGTTGGAAGGGACCTTGGAGGTCATCGGCTCCAACCCCCTGCTCAGGCAGGAAACCCTACACCATTTCGAACAAATGGCTGTCCAGTCTCTTCTTAAAAACTTCCAGTGCTGGAGCATTCACCGCTTCTGGAGGCAGGTTGTTCCACTGGTTAATTGTTCTAACTGTCAGTATGTTTCTCCTTAGTTCTAGGTTGCTTCTCTCCTTGATTAGTTTCCATCCGTTGCTTCTTGTCCTGCCTTCAGGCGCTTTGGAGAATAGCTTGACTCCCTCTTCTTTGTGGCAGCCCCTGAGATATTGGAACACTGCCATCATGTCCCCCCTTGTCCTTCTCGTCATTAAACTAGACATACCCAATTCCAGCAACCGTTCCTTATATGTTTTAGCCTCCAGTCCCCTAATCATCTTTGTTGGTCTTCTCTGTACTCTTTCTAGAGTCTCAACATCTTTTTTACATCGTGGTGACCAAAACTGGATGCCGTATTCCAAGTGTGGCCTTACCAAGGCATTGTAAAGTGGTATTAATACTTCACGTGATCTTGATTCTACCCCTCTGTTAATGCAGCCCAGCACTGTGTTGGCCTTTTTGGCAGCTGCAGTACACTGCTGGCTCATATTTAAGTGATTGTCCACTAGGACTCCGAGATCCTTCTCACAGTTACTACTATTGAGCAATACCCCCTATATTATACCTGTACATTTGGTTTTTCTTGCCTAAATGTAGAACCTTACTTTTTTCACCATTGAATTTCATTTTGTTAGATAGCGCCCAGTGTTCAAGTCTGTCCAGGTCCTCCTGTATCTTAAGTCTGTCTTCTGGAGTGTTAGCTATTCCTGCCAGCTTGGTGTCATCCACAAATTTGATGATTCCCCATCTATCCCCTCGTCCAAATAGTTGATGATGTTGAAGAGCACTGGGCCCAGAACAGCCCTGGGGCACTCCACTACACACTTCCCTCCATGTAGATGCGGTCCATTGAGGACCACACGCTGAGTACAGCTGGTCAGCCAGCTACGAAGCCATCTGGTGATGATGCTGTCTAACCCACATTTTTCTATCTTATCGAGTAGTAGGCTGTAATCTACTTTATCAAATGCCTTACTGAAGTCCAAGTAAATTATATCCACAGCATTCCTCTGATCTACTAATTTTGTCACTTGGTCAAAGAATGCAACAAGGTTTGTCTGGCATGATCTGTTTTTGACAAACCCATGTTGGCTTTTAGTAGTGATTTTGTTTGCCTCTAGGTGTTCGCTGATTCGTTGTTTGATTATCTTTTCCAGAATCTTCCCAGATATTGAGGTCAGGCTGATAGGTCTGTAATTTCCTGGATCCACTTTTTTTCCTTTTTTGAAGATTTCTTAATTCTGGTTTTAGCCCTTTTTTTGGCCAAACATTTTTCCTAGTTAGTATGTTCTGTTGAATCCCAAGATCTTCCCATGGTTTTGTAGATGTTATCAGTACAAAAGCTAAGTCAGTTAAAGTACTTTTGTGAAGATATTCCTCAGAGATCTTTTTCTTTCTCTCTTAGTTTCTCCCATCACCTTTTTTCTCTCGAATTCTTGAATTCTTGACATATAGGTTGACTTTTCCATGTCCAGGATTTCCTGGAAGCTTTTGTCCATCTGACTCCTTCCATTATTAAATTCCATCTCAAAGTTTCTTTCTACTAGTTTATATTCAGTTGTCTGCTTTACATGATCCCTCTTTCTTTTTGTTTTCTGATCCTTTATTTGTTGTGACATTAAATTGAGAATGCATTCATTTAAATTTTCAAATTCATTTTTAATTTCCTCATGGTTTAAAATTAATGTCATATGTATTTGTTGTAACATAACATACATTTCTTCCTGGAAAGTATTTATTTTTTCTTGATATATTCTTTCTGCAGGCTTCTGATGCTCTGCCAATTGCTTTAAAGTTATAGTTTAAAAAATACTTATAGTCCAAGAAGGTCACTTTTTTTTCTAAATTTTATAAAGCTAGTCCACAATCTTTTCTTTTATTACAGCTGTTCTTTGTTTGATTAAAGCTTTGAATAACAAGTTTTTTTTCTGAGCTGTATATTTAGGGTAGTATTTCCATCCACCAGTAGATGTCAGCACCAGTCCATCTTTCAATTTTCAAAACAAATAAACCATTTACAGGTAGTCCTTGAGTTATGAGTGTAATGGAGACTGCCCATTTCACTCGTAATTTGAAAACTCGTAGAGTGAATCTCGTTCGAGGAATGAGATCACTCTCTTGCTTGTTAAAACGCATGCAGCTCATTAAGCAAACGAGGTATCTCAGGGTGGGGAAGGTCATGGAGGGCCTCGTTCTGGAACAGGCCTCTAAGACCTCCCCAACCCACTAAGATACCGTATGCTTCCCCCTCCCTTCCTGCCGCACCGGACTCACGTGGAATTCTCTTTGCTGCAGTTCCTGCTGCCATCCGGATTTGAGGCGACCCCCCCCTCCACAGTCTGATCTGGGCTCCAGAGGCCTTTTTCAGGCTGCTGCCGCCTGGATTTGAGGCAAGGGAACGCTTCTGCACACCCTGCGCGGCCCGATCCGGGCTCCAGAGGCCTTTTCCAGGCCATTGCTGCCTGGATTTGAGACCGGGGAATGCTTCCATGGTCCCCCCGCAGCCTGATCAGGGCTGGAAAAGGCCTCCAGAGCCCGGATTGGGCCGCATGGGGTGCACAGAAGCGTTCCCCCACCTCAAATCCATGTATCAGCGGCCTGAAAAGACCTCTGGAACCTGGACCATGCAGGTTGTGCAGAGGTGTTCCCCGGCCTCAAATCTGGGTGGCAGTGGCCTGGAAAAGGCCTCCGGAGCCCGGATCGGGCTGCGCGGGGTGCACAGAAGCATTCCCTGACCTCAAATCCGGGCGGCAACAGCTTGAAAAAGGCCTCCGGAGGCAGGTGGAAGCATCTTCCAGCTTCAGTTCCATTCTCTGTTGAGAGAACAAGGCCTAAAGTACAATGAGATCATGCAAGATCAGTAGCGTGAGATCTTGCCCCACTGATCTTGCGTGATCTTGCATTACTTTAGGCCTTCATTCTCTGCAAACACATTGAAGGCTGGAGCAGCCAAGAAAGCGAAGGATCTCAATCTTCGCAGAGTGAGTATTGAAGGCCTTATGCCTAGGGAGACCCGGGGCAAGGGTGGGGAGGTAGGGAATAACCAGGGTGAATGTTGCAGAGCCACTACGGTCGCTCATAAGGGCGAATGACTGCTGTGTTGCAATATTCGTAACTTCAGGACTTACTCATAAGCACTAGGAAGCGCTCATCACATAACTTTGAATGAGTGTTAAGTGAACGCTCGTAACTTGGGGATTACCTGTATCTCCGTCAATAATCTTTTGCCAGGAAACTCTTAATAAATTCCATCGGTTTCACTTTTTCCAAGTTTAAATCTTATATTAATTTTATTTCTGTGTATTTTTATCCCCCATAAATTTAATTCCCTGTTTCTGTTTAGAGGAGTGTGGAGCAAAGACCCCCCTCACTTTCAGAGGATTTTTACTTCTGGGGTTTTTTCTTTTTTTTTTCAGGAAATCAGTCAGGTAGAAGAGAGAGAATCAATATTCTTACCCAGTTCAATTACGCTGTTTATGATCGCTTAATTTAGTGCTTTTTAGCTTCAGCTGCATGTAGCTTGGGTTAGACTCACGAATGATGCTAGCCTATCTTCTGTTGGTTTCTGTAGAGCATTCCCCGGACGTCCGGATCAACCACTGTCTTTCAAGGCTCAGCGGGGCTTCCCTCCTTGTTTGCCACCTCTCCAGGGTGACTTTTGGCCCATTTACTGTAGGGTCACCAAACACAGAGAAATCAGCTGTAGACTGTAGAGCCCTGCAATCCCTCGGCTGTTGCACTAACTGCACAAAACCAGAAGCCATACTGTAGAACAGGGCTTTTCAACCTTTTCACAGATTGTACCACTTTTAGGACATGACAATATTTGACTATCACCAGTGCTTAGCAAGGTGTCAAAAACTTGATGACTAAAAAAAAGGGGGTTGGGATTTTGGGTTTTACTGATTAGACTCATTTGTTGTTATAGAAATGACTAATTTATAATATTATGGAAAAGTAAAAAGTTGAGGTTCAATGTTAATGCTTCCTTCTACTGCAACAGAGGAAGTATGTTCTTTTTCCCTTCTCCCCCTCACTTTTCCCCCTTTTTCCTCCCCACTGTGTCCTACTATTTGCTTTTGTATTTTTGTATTTTATTCTATAATCTAATAAAATATTACAAACTGTAGAAAAAAAAATGCCAGTTTTAATTTCTTTGGTGGCTGTTCCTTTACTGAATCACTTTCCCTTTGCACTGACAAATGTATGATGAATTTATTCATGTTTATTAATATGCACCACTACCAGTTAGTTCAAGGGTCTTCAAACTTGGCACTTTTAAGACTTGTGGACTTCAACTCCCAGAATTCCTCAGCCCTCATGGCTGGTTGAGGAATTCTGGGAGTTGAAGTCCACAGGTCTTAAAGTTGCTAAGTTTGTAGACTACTGAGCCAGCTGGTTTGTCCTTCTGAGCTCTTCCAATGTTGTAAGAATGCACCCCCCAATCCCTTAAAGACACAGGAATCAAGTACAAAGCAAGAAAATAAAGAAACACAAACTCTGGGTTTGTTTTTTCTCTTTAAGCTGCTTCAGGCCTGTTATGTGTCACAATGTTGCAATTCTAGACTGAAAGGCTCTGGCAATTGCGAAAAGCTTTAGCTTTAAATTAAGCCTCTTTACCTTCAAAAGAAAACTTTCTAAAAGCCACAGACAGACTCAGTTAAAGAGGGTAAAACTAATTTCATTTATTTAAAGGGATTAAATCTTTCCTGTTGTCTTTTTTCCCTTCCCCCACCCAAACCACGTTCTTTTATCGCCTCTCCTCTCTTCCCCTTCCCTTTTTCTTCAGTTCACCTCCAGCTCCGAGCTGTGCCAATCAGCTGGAGCCCTGTCAACTCCTGGGGCTTCTGCCGAGCCCAGACAGTCCTGCAGCTGCAGCTGCCTCTCCCTCAGGCTTGGCTCACTTCAGCTCATTCCCCTCCCCTGCTACACTTGGCTAGCGGTCGCATACCACCTGCATGTGGCAAAGTACCAAAAGTGGTAGGCATACCACCCTTTGAAAAGCCCTGCTACAGAACATTTTTACTTTTTATTTTGACTGATGTCTTTTGCTGCCAGTTAATAGTTGCTTTATTTATTATTCTTTACCAAAGGTGGATAGCAGAGCAGAATCGATTGATAAGAAAATTTCTAGACTTGATGCAGAGCTGGTGAAATATAAAGACCAAATGAAGAAAATGAGAGAGGGGCCTGCAAAGGTAAGATGTAAATAGTTTTATGGTGAAGTGATTCGTGGTCACATGATGACTATATCTCCTGGTTTTTAGGAGGATTTTTCAATGTACCAGAAATTAGAAGAAAACAAATGAATAATAGTATATAATGGTAGAAATAGGGCCTGCAGGGCTTGAAATCAGTGACCAAAAGGAGTTTCTGAGTGACGGCACTTGTCTGTGACTTTTTAGAACAGCTACATACCTTTTAATGCCAACAGAAGCCAACAGTATTGATGTTGAAATCCTGCTTATGTTAAAGAATTTTGAGTCTAGGATGGGTATCACCTTGCACTTTGAACTGTGTGTCTTATGTTCAGGTAATAATAAAGCCATAGTAAAATCTTAATGAGGCTTTAGTGCACGGAGGCATACTGTATGTGAATTTTAGCTCAAGAGGTATGTAACTTAACTGAATAAGGTACAATTGACTTGTGGTTCATATATAATGTCAACTTTACAACAAGGTAAATCATCTAACTTTGATTAATACATTTATATTGATTTTACATTTTTATAATGATTATTTATACATGCAATGGGTTGGGGATTTTTTTTGTTGATTATTGTAAGTCATCCAGAGTCTCTTTTTGTAAGATGGGTGGCTGTATAAATTTGACTACTAAATAAATAAAGCTTTTCAACTGACAGTGGGTGAGTCCACAGAATATGATAGGCCAAAGTCATTTTGACTATATTGTGGCTTAATATGTGTGAATCCATGTTCACTATGTTATAAAATTTACTTCATAGCTTTGCTTCTAAATTAAGTTAGCTAGTTTCAAGTCATAAACTGCAATAAGCAAAGTGCATATTGGTTTAATGTATTGAATGTAGATAGTGCATCTTATTGCATCTAGTAATAAAGTGTAATAGAGACTAGTCTCCTCGCAGTGCACCCTGGGCAACACGATTTTGTCATGGCTAAATAGTCTAACGTTCCGGCTGCTAGACCTCACAAGGATATCCCAACAAGAAGCAGCAGCATAAATACTGAAAATAAAAATAACACATCTTTTCATAATCAAGTGACAAAAGACATAGGAGATGTCCTGAAAATTGTATACCTTTATGTGGAAGATATGAGCAGGACTAAAGCTGACTATTTACTTAGGCTTATGAATAATTATTCATTCATAAGCCTAAGTAAATAGTCAGCTTTAGCCCTGCTCACGCCTTCTGCATAAAGTTATACAATTTTCAGGACATCTAAAATTCAGTAAATGTTGTCGTACTATAAGAAATTGATTGCACTGATGAAATCCAACTTAAAAACAGATGGAAACTTCTAGAATATTCTCTAGCTGCAGCTATTTACCATGCAATGTAAGGACTGCGACCTACGTAAGAAACAATATAGATCAAGTACAAGATATGAAAAGTCATACTGAAGTACCGTATATACTCGAGTATAAGCCGAGTTTTTCAGCCCATTTTTGGGGCTGAAAAATGCCCCCCTCGGCTTATACTCGAGTCAGCGTCTTGAAGCAGCTGCTACTGCTGCCGCCACCGCCAGGCAAGCCACGGCGGCTCGCCGCTCGCTCCCCCTCCCCTCGCGCTACGCTCAGCCTGCTTGCCTGGCGGTGGCGGCAGCGGTCACGGTGGCTCGCCGCTCGCTCCCCTCCCCTGGCGCTGCGCTCCGCCTGCTTGCCTGGCGGCGGCGGCGACAGTCACAGTGGCTCGCCGCTCGNGCCCGGCTCGTTCCCGCCGCCGCCGCCGAGCTCATTGCTGCCGCCGCAGCCGCCCGGCTCGTTCCCGCCGCAGCCGCCACCCAGCGTGTTCCTGCCGCCGCCGCAGCCGCCCGGCTCATTCCCGCTACGACGGTGGCCGCCCAGCTCGTTCCCGGTGTCGCCCCGGCCTGTGATGCTCCAGGTACGGCCCTTCCCTTCCGTTCCATGCGGCGCTGCGTGTCCAGGCCGGGACGGAATACGCCGGGCCGCCGCAGCCAAGCGCGAGGGGGAACGCCAGACGCCTTGCCCGAAGGGAGGCCTGGCGACGCTGCGCCCTGCCGGGCGTTCACCGACAGGGCCGGGGAGGCCGAGGCGGCCAGGGAGGAACAGCCAACTGCCGGCAACCAGCCGGAACTGCTGGGGCCAGCCCGTATTGAAGAATACGGCTGAATTTACCCGGGCTGGCCGAGAAAGGCACACCTCCAGCCTTCCCCGCAACCGGGAGAAGCCCCCTCCCTTTTGCAAGGTTGCCCCCTCCCCGCTTTTGGGGTGGGGGAGAATTGAGAGAGAGAGAGAGAGAGACAAACACACACACACACAAAGAGGAGAGGGGAGCCGGCCGGCCCACCCGTTTCCCCCTTTCCCTGCGCGAGCGTGTGTGGATTTCCCCCCCCCCTTTTTTCTGCCCGCCTCTCTCGCCCGCCCGCCCTGTTCCAGCTTCTCACTATCCAAGAATACCCTTCCAGCTGACGTGGGGCGTGTTATCAACTATTGCTCCTTTGTGCAAAGTGCTACAATTGCGCGGTTACCAGAGGGGTGGGGTTGCAAAGAGGCCGATTAGCCCAGGCGGAAAAATGTGTGTGCTGAAAAATGCCCCCTCGGCTTATACGCGAGTCACCATTTTTCCCCAGTTCTTTGTGGCAAAATAGGTCCCTCGGCTTATATTCGGGTCGACTTATACTCGAGTATATACGGTAAATGTATTTGTCACACAAACAAAAATTTCCAACAATGAAATCGTCAACATGTATAAATCACCCGCAAAACCATGGGATGATAGGACGCTGTCTAATATGCAGCATTCTACAGTAATTATAGGCAATTTTAATAGCTAAAATACATTATGTGGACACAAAGACATTAATGAAGAAGGTAAAATGGCTGGCACTAAAAATCTCTTCCTAGTCCATGATGCTAAGAATAAGAGTATGTTCCACTTGGCCAGATGGAGTAAGGACTATAATAACCCTGGTTTACATTTTGTCTCCATGGATATGCACAACACACCATTACATTGTAACAAAAGAGTAGTTCCAGAAATCCTTGAAGTCAGCACAGACCTGTGCTATTAAATGTTGGAGTGCAGATCTCAAATGTAGGATAGAACACTAAGCCTTGATGGAATTTTCAAAAAGCCAAATGGAAACATTTGTTGTTGAACTCAACCACAACATAATGGATCCCCCTAACATAGAAAATTACTATCAATAGGTGGGATTGCTACTTTCTGTGGTTAAGAAGCATATCCCAAGGGGCTGTAATAATAATAATATATTTATTGATTAGCCCATGGGCCATATCAAGGTGCAGAGTTCCAAACACACATTATACTCAAATGCAGTAAAAACAATTTAGAATGGAATTGGTTAAAATATAATTTAGAATAAAATAGAAATAAAATACAACTTAAAATGAAATTGGGATAAAATACATTTTTAAAATGAAATTAGAATCAAATACGGCAATTTAAGATGTAGATAGATAAAATATGATAAAATTATATTTCACTATCACCCCTACAATCTACCCCAATCAGTCTCACATATGCCGATCTCAGCCAAACCATTTTGCTCAGGTACTATTAAATAAATGTATTAAATGTAATTTTCAATTTCTGGCCGCACATAAGGTAAGTTATTTTGATATGGGGGTCCCAATGGGTCATTTGTTTAGTGTATAGGCCAAGGTACCTGTCTCTCATCCTCTTATATAGGCAGCAGTGAAATAGGATGTGAGCCAGGTCCTCAACCTCTGCCGCTCTGCAGATGCAGAGACATCCATTATAGGGTATACAGTAGAGTGGAATCTCCCATATCTGACCATTGTATCAAGCGGTTCAAATCTCGCTCATGGGAATATTTCCCTAAGATATTTTGGCAGTTGTAATTTCAAATAGCTGTCTGCTTGAAAAGTGCATTTGTATTTGCTCAGCCATTTCAAGTTACTCACCTTACTAAGGATGGCTATGTCATTTTGTGCTTTAATATCCTTAATTCTTTGGGCAGCTCTTTTTTTAGATCGTTTCCCCGTTACACAAGAGGCAGGAAGGCCACAGCTTCTTACAAAATTTATCAATTTAGTGAACCTGGAAGTTTGTGATTGTAATTTTATCTGCTCTAGTAGGCATAACATGGGGAGTCTATCACTCTCCATTTCATTAATTTTATGCCAGTAATTATATGTTCTGATTTTGGATAGAGAATGAATTGTATGAATTCCCAGTTCAGTTCTAACTGCTACAGCAGATGTTCTTGGATCTACTCCCAAAATACATCTCAGGTGCTGGGACTACGTTTGTTCTAGTGTTGTAATTGAGTATATACACCAAATTTCTGCTCCATACAAAAGCATAGGAGTAACCTTAGCTTTATATACTCTGATTAATGGAACAAGGGACCCTGGATAACTATGATTCTTTAATTTAAGCAGTAGATTCAAACGAGCCTTTGCTCTAAGTGTGCTCTGTTGATGATGGCAAGCCCAGAATCCAGTCTTGGAAAACGTTTTGCCTAAGTATACAAAGGTGTTAACCTGTTCAATTGGTTCACCCTCTAATTGCCATTTATGTCTCTCATGATGTTTTCCAAACACTATGATTTTTTTATTTAAATTTACTGATGGTTAGGGAGTTGTCCTGGCAATAGGAGTTAAACATTCTTAATAGTCTGTGCAATCCTACTAATAGGATCATATCGTCGGCATAGAGCAAGCTATTACAGTATGTATTTAGCATCATCAGCATATGTACCATGGGGTCTTTCATTAACCCTGGAAGGTCATTAATGTATAGATTAAATAATAATGGGGCCAGGATATACCCTTGTCTTACCCCTTTATTTGTGTGAATCCTGTTAGTCAAGGCCCCATAAACTCCATACCGCATCTTCAAACAGGTACTTATGTAAAGGGCTTTAATCAAAGCTAGCAATCTAGGTTCTATTTTAAGAGATGTCAATTTACTCCATAGTACTTCTCTGTTTACAGTATCAAATGCTGCTGTAAGATCTATAAAAGCAGCAAATGGGTTTCCTCCTATAGGCATATTTGGCAATTACAGGTAGATGGTTCAGGACAAAGCAGTTATCAATGGTAGATCAGTTTTGTCTAAAACCTGTTTGTTCTTCTGCGAAGATATGATTTTCTTCTACCCAGATTTCAATTCTATTCAAAAGGAACCTAGCATATATTTTTGCTACAATGTCAATAAGACTAATGGGCCTATATTTACTAGGATCCTTTTTATTCCCTTTTTTATATATGGGGACAACTATTGCCATCTTCCACCCATCTGGTATATGGCAGGTGTTATTTATATTTGTAAAAAGACCTGCCAATATTGGACCCCACAAGTCGGAATTTCTTAAATAATTCTGCTGGCAAAAAACTTCACCTGGGGCTTTATTATTCCTTTAGGCTTTTAATGATGGATTGTATCTCTTTTACCGAGACTGTGGGATTGATATGTGGGATTGCTACTTTCAGTAGTTAAGAAGCATATCCCAAGGGGCTGTAGAAAAACATATATCACAACCTGGAGCCAAGAATGCACACAATTGTACAATGAACCTGAAGTTTCTGATGAACTCCTCCAATGTCTAGACTCTGCCAGAAGAGAAAAGTGGCACTCTCTTATGGAGCAAATGAGTTTTCAACATGCCAGCAAAAAGGCTTACAAAACTGGGAGATAGCTCCATGAAAGAAATCTGAAATGTTGGCAATATCAGCCCTAATGATCCTTACAAGGAAAACATCAGGAGCAAATAAAGAGAGAACTAGTGAAATCAAAAGAGAAAAAAAGCCAGAGTCAATGAACTAACACCTGAAAGTAACATCTCAGAAGAATTTTCTACATTAGAAATCGCTAAAGTACTATCGATAAAATCAGGAAAAACAGCTGACCTAGATGGAGTATCCGAGTTTCTGAAGCATTGTGGACTGTATACTATACTCTGACTTACACAATTTTATAATGATAAACAACAACAAACAGGGAGGTTTCCAACAATACTCAAAAGACCCCAAATTGTAGCCATCCTGAGACCTGGTAAGGAAGAGAAATCTGTGAAAGCATTTCTTATAATTTACTGGAGAGACTCATCGTAAACATAATTAAACCCCTGACCAAGGAACATATACCTATAGAATAGGCTGGATTTAGCTAAAAAGAAACTGCGATCAGGTATCATCACTAATATCCCATATAAAAAATGGATTTTAGTAGAGAAAAAATATGTTGCTATGTTCATCAACCTATTATCAGCCTACAATACAGTGTGAAGAGAAAGGATGATTCTAAAGTTCTTATACATTGTGCCTTGTAAGAAAATAGTTATTCTATTCAACAATATGTTTTCAAACAGATACATTGAAGTACATCTGGATGACCAAATTAGTCAGAAGTATAGGTTAAATCAGTGGTTCTTAACCTTTTTGAATGAATCGCCCCCTTGAGCCAATGAGGAAGTTGTCATCGCCCCCCTCCCCCAACATAACCTCTCAGTCACAACTTTGCAATACTGCAGACCTCTTAAAATGTGAAATGAATTTATATAAACTTTCATTTCTCTCCCCCAGAATAAAGTTAATAATTTTGTGGATGTGAGGGCTGGGC